TTAAGTTTCTAATTTTATGGTATGGAAAATTTAAGGTTTAAAAGGATGATGAGTTTAGTTTATGATAAATAAATCTGATTGTTAAGATTGTTGTTAGTATATAAAAATATTTTAAAATATTATTTTTTGATGGAATTTGAATTTGAGATTTCTGAGTTAACATTAGACTATATGGAATATTTTTTATTAAATCTAAAAATATAAATTAATTTGTTGATATTTAAGTAATTATTTGATATGAGAAATAGATTATTATGACTATAGATGATGATTCTAGACTTAAAACTAGCTTATAATTTTTAAATATTTTTACGTGTGAATTTATGGAATAAAAATAAAAATTTTTAATATTAGAAAATTATTTAAAGGATGATTTTAGCCAAAACTTTAATGAAATTATTGTGAAGGAGTTATTGAACGAAATAAATAGATTTAAATATATAAAATTAGATTTAGAAGTCAAGAGGTTAAGACTAAGGTCTTAAAAAAAATACTTAAAATGTTAGAATATGAGTGAAAACTATATTAATAATATTAGTGACACATTGTGATGTGATTAATTGTATATTAATTGTCATTTAGCACCATTCAAGTTTTAAAAGTATTGATTTGAGGGGTAATCTTTAAGCTTTCAAAGGTTGAGGTAACCAAGCTAATTATTATTTATGTTTGTGAAATAAATGAATACTCACACCCCCCAACCAAAACTTAAAATAGTTGTTTGTAATGCACCAAAACTTAAAAATTGTTGTTTGTAATCCACCAAAATTTAAAATTGTTATTGTAATGCATATGTGGCCTGTGTTGAGATTCTATGATTTGTGACAAAGTTAATTATGGCACATCTAAAAATTTTGAATGTGATGGCCATATGTGCATAAAAAGAAATGAATATAAAACTTGCTTGTAATGTGAAATATTAATATTATTTATGCTTTTATGGATAATGTGACATGATTTGAGTAATGAGATTGAGAGTTGATGATGATATGCATCGTTTTGATTATAAATGTGGATTATACATGGTGACGAATTATATATAAGCATGTTGAGAGTTTTTATATGATGCTAACGTAACTTATGTAGTAATATAAAAATTGATATATGAGGATGATTGAGATATGATTATTCTTGATGCTTATTGAGCAAGAAAATTGATAATACGTGGGATAATTGTGAATTACATATATGAGAGTTATTGAAATGCATTTTCTCATGAGTATAATCATATGGTGGTGAGAGTTCGCCTTACTAAAGAAACTAGCGGTTTGTGTAAAATCCATATGGTACTATCTATTAATTGTCAATCTTAAGGGTTATAGCTACTACTCACCTTATAGGGTATTGTAGTATTGTTCCTATTAAGAGACTTAAACTTATTAGCCTATCTAGAGTTTTAGATATAATTAGTCTTGAGTATAAAAACTCATAGTATATGATTTGGAGGAAACCGTGTTCATCAATGAGTAAGATAATCTTGGCTCGATAACCTCTCAAAATATGATTAAGGACTTAGATCGTCTCATCACTGAATGATTCCTTTCGATTGTTAGCCCACAGATTTCATGTAAAAGGAAATAATGGAGGATAGAAGGAAGAGATTGATTATGTATTTCATTATTTTATGCCATTTGAATGATTAATGGCTATGTTTGAAAACTCCGATTATAATTATAAAAATGAGACATGTGGTAAATATGTGAAAAATATACATATGGGCACTTATGCAAATTTATACAAACATCAGTACTTATGGGTAATCGTGCTAATTTTATACTTGACTTTATTGTTAAAATTATTCACATGAGTTACATGTTAATATACTTAACATTATCTTGATATGATTGCTTGCATGGTTATCTTGATGAATTTATTAGCTACTTGCACTCATGATTAATTATCATACATCTGTATAACTCAGATAATATTGATTATTGATTGGTTATATTGACCCCTCTCTTTTAACATATTACAGGAGCCAACTCATCTTGGAAGAATAGAGGAAAGGAAGTATCAGACCAAGTGATAATAAAACACTTCTGTAGGCCTTTCTATTTTTTTATATGTGTATTTAGCTATGATATTGCTAACTAAGATAATATATCTTGATTCGCTTGAATTATGGATTTTGTGTTAGATGGAAGTGTATTTTGGGCCTTTGAGGATGTGATTTGATGCTTATGTTTATATTAGTAGCTAAAATACGCGAGCAAGTAAAAATAGTTATTATATGTATGATTTGAGAACCGAAATACTGTTATAGTCTCCCCTTATGTTTTTTATGGTCTAAGAGTGAATAGTTAATATTAATTATATATGAATAAAAGGAAAATTCATGCATGTGATGAACTGTTGATGAATAGATGATTATACATGAAGTGATGATGATTAAGTGATAATTATTATGATAAATGTAATTGAGACTTTAGCCTCTATTGTCAATTATGAAAGAATTTGAGTGGTTAAGTGTTATGTTGGTAAATATATATATATATATATACACTATTTGGAGCAGGGCACATAGAGGAAATAAGGGGGAGTTTTCCTCCCATCTTGAAATGTGTTTCTTAATTATTAATAAATCTCATGCTTCCACACAGATTTAATTGAATGATATGAGTTCTTAAAATATTTTAAAAACTTGGAATCTCTTTATTTTAAATAGTTTGTAAAAATATATGTTAAGGATTTGTTTGGGTTAATCTCTTATATGATAATCCTTTTAAATTAGTCCTTAATTAATTATAATTAGTGTGATAATTTAAGTCTTAATTTAGGTCATCCTTACATGGCCAAAAAAAATCAACAAAATGCTTCCAAATTAGCAGAGATAATGGTTAACAAGCCATGCATGAATGAGAAAATCATGAGATGTTAGATTTTAAAAGTTTAAGAACACTCGCATGTCCCATGCGAAAAATTCAAGAATAAAAATTCCCCTTAACGCTATTGTTAAACTCATAGAACACTAATAGATATAAAATAACCTACTAGCCACAAGAAACTATCCGAAATCAAATGGTGATGTAAATGCTTTATATATATAAACATATGAGCAAGCTTAAGTACTTCATCTCTATATTTAATGGGCTTTTATCCCATTAAATTAAAATAAGTGAATTTGATGTGTTGATAATATTAATAAAAGTCTGTTGTAAAAAAAAAATTAATATAAAAGGATTCATTTGTCTTGGTTTAATTAAAAACAAATATTTTAAGCATGTAAGACTAAACATATAAATTTTTCAATATATAGACTAAATATTATATATATATATATATATATAAACAAGACAAAACTCTATTTTGTAAAAAAAATATTTACTTAAAAAATATTGTCCTTTTCTACGCCGCGCGTGGGGCAAGTCCATTAATTTAATGTTTTAAGAGATCATAACGCTTATATAAAAATACTGTTAAAATGCCAAATAAATTATTAACCCCATAATATATAATAAATTACGCATAATATGTTGACACCACTCTTTATAAATTGTCTATCTCATATAGAATAAATATGATTAAATTCATCTTCTCATTAGTATTATTAACATAATTAGAAGTATGCTTTTACAAGATTGACAGGTTTTCATCGATCACATTTTCAAGAAAATAAATCTACGAACTGCCACGTTGTCATGGCTTAAGAACTTCTTTTTCTTTGAATTGTGCCAACTTTAGCTTGATCAATCTCTTAAGTTTGAATAAGTCAACCAAAACTCACAATGTAGACAAAGAAATTTAAGAGAGCTAATCATATAAGTAGAGAGTAGAGAGTTTGAGTAAATAAACTTGAGAATTTTATTGGTTTGCTTGAATTGTTATAAATGAGAGGTGAAGGGATATTTATAAACCTCTCCTTCTTTCATAAAGTTCCTACCTCCTTAATAGACGGTTCAGATTAATTCATTTCAATGGTGTATATTTTATTTCTAGAATATTTTATGAAAATATTTACAAGGAATATCTTTAATATTTACAAGTAGAATTTTAGAATGTACAAAGAAAAATATCTCTAAAATAATTTAAATACTTCAAGTACCCTCCATACTATTTTAGAGATATTTGAGTCACTTGGAATCATACTGGTATTTCCAAAAGTCCTTGCTCATCAAGCGATTGTTAATGATTTTGATATTAGAATTTTCAATATTCCTCCTTCATAATGTTGAAATTTTATGCGATTGGATTTCCGGCGAAGAGTTTATAATTGAACGGTCTATTAAAAAAAAAAACTTACATATATAATACCAAAAGGGCATGAAATCATATAGATTATTCTAATCACAACATTGTAAATTAAACCACTCCGAGGAACAAGATTTTTTTTTTTTAACCTTCAGAGACTTTTTCTTTTTGGGTGGAAAACTTACAAATACATTGTATATTACTGAAAGAAACTCAAGAAACCACTGTACAGCTAAAGCAGTATGAAAGCATGAATGCAGTTAGAGTTTACTATTCACTATTACCGTAACAATATCAGCATCATTGTCATTTAAGGATTATAAATAATTTATGAAACTAAATGAAATTACCTACATTTTTTAATAAAAGTGAAATATATAATTTTTCAAAAATTAAAATAAAATTTCAATTATACATTATCGTACACGAAAATTTATGGCAAGATCTTTGGTTTTGAAGTTCTGAATGATACAAACACAAGAAATGCTCTTCAGATTGGGTGCCAAAAAACATATAAGATATGCTCACATAAATGCATTGTGTGATAACTAAATTCCACCTACTAGCAGGCATTAGGTCCTAGTAAAAAAAGTTATATCTGCCTAAGCATAAGATCTTAAGTTTAAATTTAGTAAATATAAAAAATATCTTTAAGAGAGTTACCTCAATTGGACTTAACAATACTCAAAATTGACCTAATCAGATAGCCATATTAAAAAAAAAAATTCCACCTCATTCTAAATAAAATAAATAAATGGACACATATAAGTAAGGGCATCAATGAATATGCTCTTACATTGTTTCAAAAGAACTCATAAGAATATACCTTGAAGAAATTAGAAGCAACCAATATGTCAACAAGAAAGAAACTTAAAAAAAAAAAAGTGACGTTTTTTTAAAAAAGAAAAAAGAAAAGAAAAGAAAATCACTCAAACAGCTTCGCTACCCTGGTAACATCTTTACAGTGCCGGCCAAGAGGAAACTCATAAGTCAAATTGAAAACTGCACTATCTAGCAAGAAGCAACCATGCAAATTAAAGGAGGGAAATGAAAGCAAGCTCCATCGATAAGTCTCTATCACAAGGCACATATCTCTCCCCTTCAATCTCTTCCTCCTTCCCAAGAATCCATGGCTTCAATCCTCCCAATCCTTGAGCCACATACCCAAAAGTAGACTCAGAGCTAGTCACCAACTCATCACACAGACTCAGCAGATACATATCTGTCAATGCCTTCATATTATGCAGATTACTATCAAACTCTTGACGTTCCTCATGACTTGCCTGAACTACTTCTATAATCTCTCCTGTCACTGTTGGTTTTGCCACATACATAGCCTTCAGCTTCTCAGAGTACACTGAATGCAAAGATGCCACCAGAATAACTTTCAAGGAAGTCTGGTTTTTCATCTCAGATGTTACTGATGATGTTTGGTTTTTTCAGTTCAGGTAACAAGTTATTGCTTAGAGTACAAGCTAAGATTTCACCCAGAACAGTTTCATATGGTGTTGTGTTCACATCGAATACTCTTGTTTGGAGGCCAATTTTCTGATCAGCTTTGGCCAAGTGAGACTTGTAAAACTTTGTGATCATACGGCATGCTTGGTTTGAAGGATGAAAAAGGTAGTGTCCTAAATAAAGGGACACAGAGTCTTTTTCTGGGAACATTTTGCTTAGCTCTTTACCAAAAGATGGAACCATGTAAAGAGAAGGGACAAAGTACTGATCTGACCGCAAAACCACCACAGGAACTTTAGAAAGAAGATCTTGACCATGATTACAGTGGAAGAACGTTCCATGCCCATTACCACCAAGTTCTAGATCAAGCTCTATAATCAATGGAGGAGAAGAAGGCATTCCCTTGTCATTCTTCAGCATGCTTTCATATTTCTGCAGATCTCTACGACGAATTACTTGAGAAAAATTCCTCTGGCAGTAACTAAGATGAATCAGGATACGGATCACAGAACAGACCAACCATTTCTCTGTGGAATTCAACAAGGAAGACTCTTCTGTGAGAACAGCATAGAGAAATGAAGCAGCCACGCTGATCATCCTATTTCCCAAGCCATTGGCAGCCCTCCAGACAAGATATTTACAAAGTGCAGTATCTATATCAATGACATAACGTGATTTCATGAGTTTAATTATAGTTCTGTTGTAGGGTTTGGCGTCAAGTCCACATCTTGTATGGAGATCCTCATAGTTTCAGAGCTTCGATATGAGATATGGAGATGGTTGATAAGGGAAGGCCTTACGGTATAAGCAGGAGTGTTACCTACTTAAGCATGACTGTTCATCAAACCCAGAAGCTAGAAGCCCTTCAAGCAGCTTGTCATCATCATTAGCAACACTAGTAGGTGACAATGATTGATTAATTCTTGAACCTGCAAATATAGGGGAAAAGATCATGATCATGTAAAAGAGCTTTAACTTGGTTTAATACTGAAAGAATGTGGAGTGTGAAGTATGTAAACAATAAGATTTGACCTAGTGATACTAAAGTAATATCTAATACTAAAGGATTCAAATTCAAAAATCAATTAGAGCCAGTTCTATAATGTTGGCTCAAGAAAGATTTGTCAAACCCAGTTCTAACGAAGTTCTTGTCTTCATAAATCTTGAATGTTCCGTTAGTTTCATATATTAAAGCATGATCAAAGTGAACAACTCATGTGGATGGAATCCATTTTGGACTGTAAAATTGGTGGTTAAATATCTCTTGAAGGTACTTCAACCAGAAAGCACTACAGAACAAAGATCAGTAAAATCGATGAAAAAGAAGACAATTAACCAGAGCAGTAAACAAAGGTCTTACCTGCAGCTTGTGGTTCAGTATCTGAAACTCTGGCTTCCGGTCCGTGATGAATAGAAACTTTTTGAGCTTTTTCACACCTTAGCTTTGCTAAATCCGAGAAAGAGATTCTTAAATTCAGCTCCTGATACACAGAATTCAGAGTTTCTTGGCAATATCAGGACCAAACTATAGGATGAAAAAATGCTACCTGAGGAACTGTAATATTGTGAACTGTCTCTTCTAAGCACTGAATCGTGACGTTCGATGCTTCATTAAAGGCATAAGTTGTAACGTTTTGAGTTGTTCCTTCATTGATCACGGTCTTTGAAAAACCCTTAAAGAAGTGGAAGGCATCGTCCTGGTAAGTGAGACTTACGATGAAGAAAAATGGTAAAGCTATTGATACACAGACAATAATGTTTTGAATCTTTCAGAACTATTCAAATTCGCCATTCTCTCGATTTGACTCTGAAGACGTTGTCTGGAAATTAGGAAGAGAATCGCAGGAAGAAGAGATTGGAATGAATGAATTCATTTGCAGATGACAAAAAGTGAAAAAGAAAAGTTCTTGAAACGTTACCTATGCTATGGCACAGTGAAGATGGTAGGTACCCAGAAACTTGAGCGACCATTAAATTTTAAAAATGGACCAATCTCAAGTATACACACAAGAAAATAAAGGTTGCAAGGATAAAGTCATCAATGATAGACTATTAAGAAAGATATTAAGTGGCCATCTAGATTTTTTTCCTTTTACAGAAACTGACACTTTTCTAAAAGAGAAAATGATAATAAAATTTTTTAAAAGTATATAAATAACAAGCTGACACTTTTCCAAAAGAGAAAATGATAACAAAACTTTTTAAAATCATATAAATAACATACTGGTTCCTTAAAATACCACAATTTTATTGAAGTTTTATAAATTTTTATGTTAATAAATTTTAAATTGAAAAACTATTTTACTTTTATTGATAAATTGTGATTTCAGGTTAAATTTTTGTAATTTTTTTAATAAAAGTTGTTATTCCTTAAATAAAAGTTATGATTGAAACTTATTATTTTGAGAACTTATTTTTTAATAATAGAAATTACATTTAACAAGTTATGATTTTTTATTTGCCTCTTATAATTTACAAAACAAAAGTTATTATTTCTTAAGCAAAAATTATGATTGGGGCTTGTTATTTTGAGAACTTATTTTTCTATAATAGAAATTACACTTGACAAATTGTAATTGCTTATTCAACTCTTACGATTCATAAAATAAAAGTTATTATTATTTAAGTGAAAATTATGATTAGAGCTTGTTATTTTTAATAAAGATCAAACAGTCTTTTCACTTTAAAATTTATTAACACAAAAATTCCTAAAAATTTTAATAAAATTATGTCATTTTAAAAAATTAGATTATCATTTATGTAATTTGAAGGATTTTAATTTCATTTTCCCTCTCTGAAACCATTAAGAAGACAAATAATGTTTCTCTTAGCATATCATCCTGTGCGGTGAGCAAAGAAATTCTTCCTTAAACATATTATTTTCAAAGATTTATCTTGAGACCTTATATTCCCAGAATCATCCTAGCAATGCATATTTTAAAAAAATAATACTTCAAAAACAGATGAAAAAAGGAGTTACTTGGAAAAAGGCAGACGAAAGAAATTTTTTCAAATACCCATTTTAGTTTCTTTTCTTTAATTTTTAATTATACATAGTCAATATTCAATAAATATTATAAAATTAGAACAATGAAATTTATGGTAAAATTTAGAGTAAAAAATACAGATTTTCCTTCTATTTTTTCTTTGTTAAAAATATTTCATTTCTATTTTTAAAACCTATACAAACATTTTCAATTCTTGCATTCAATGTCTAGTTTTTCATTACCAAAGCCGATAATCCAACACAAACCTTATTACATCGCAGATCTTAAATATAGTACATAAATTAAATTTGGATTATTTTATATTTGAGCATTATTAGATCAAATGAAATTGAGTATATCTTTTAATATATTTTAGGGAGAATGATAGTTTAGTTCCAAAGAGATAAATTAATTTAAGTTAAGTGCTAACTAATTTTAGAATGTCAACAAAATTCATTAGTCCTTTAGTGGTATTAAGTTTAACAAGAATTTGCAAGTGTGGCTCCTAACTTTGCAATTTCATTATAATGTATTTGTAATTTATTTTTTAAATTTTAATAAAGAACACAAATGTTCATCTTTAATGTTAAAAAGTATTAAGTCTAATAGTTTTAGGAATTTGAAATTTTGTCTCCCTATTTTGCAACTTTATTGTGATACATTTACAACTTATTTTTTTAATTTTAATAAGGAATACAAGTGTTCATTTTTAATATTAAAAAGTATTTAGTCTAGCAGTTCCAAGGATTGACAAGTTGGTTTCCAATTTTACAATTTTGTTATAATAAATTTATAACTTACTTTTAAATTTTAACAGAAAATAGAAATGTTCATATTTAATGTTAAAAAATATTAAGTCTGTTATTTATTCTTTACCTATTGCTTATTTATCAATAAAATAAATATATCCTCTATTTCTTCATTGTTTATTGTTTATTGTTTATTTTTCAACCTTGTTAAAATTTAAAAAAACAAGTTGCAAATGCATCGTAATAAAGTTACAAAATTGAGAGTTGAATTTACAAGTTTCTGGAGATGTTAGATTATTACTAAAGGACCAACAAACTTTATAGGTACTTTAAAATTGATTGAGACTTAATTTTAATTAATTAGTCTTCTTGGAACTTAATTTCATTGTTTTTATATTTTATTTTTACTTTATTTGACACTTTAAATTTTTTATGGTAGAAAGAATCAGTCGTCTAAAGTTCAAAATGGGATACTATAAATTTTTTAAAATATTTTTGACCAAAAAAATCTAAATATATTTCACAACTCACATTTCTTAATTAATAACTACTTATCTTAGAATGCTATAAAATTATGGGCAATTAGAAACTTTGGTACTGAAATATGATTAAAAAAGTACTGAAATTTGAGAAAATCAATGTTGAAAAGTCCTAATTTAAAATTAATATTTTTATAAAGTCATTATTTGTCATTCTTCTTGGAACATTTATCCAAATTCAGGGTTAGGAGTGTTCAACTTATATTTATCATTTTTTCTTATTTGTTATTCATTATTGGAATGGGTCTTGTCTCGGCTTGAAAATAATAGAAATGAGACGAGACACAAGATTGCCTTTGTGACATCCCATCTTGTCTGAATATTTTATATATATATATATATATATATTATTTTTTATTTTAAAAATATACATTAAATATATTAATTATATTAGTATAATTTATACATATATTAATTGTATCAATTATAATTACAATATATGGAATTCTTATTTAAAACTAAATTTTTTTATATTGATAATTTTAATGACACAGAAGTAATATCTTTCTTTATAATATATTAATTGTATTAATATAATTTATTCTTATATATATATTTAATAAATTTTGTTTATATTGTATTTATTGCTTTATTTTTAAAAAAGTAATTAGCTTAGTATATCTCAATTAAAAAAGAAGAACAATGATTTAATGTTTTGCCTGGCTTGTCTTTTGTTTTTGCTCTTATAATATAAAGATAACTTATAATTGTTATCATAATGTGTTATACCCTTTTAGTTATAATTTATGCAATTCAATAATTAAATTTAAATTATTATAATGTATGTACTCAAGTTATTTTGATTTTAAACTTAATAAATTATATGATTTAAAATTTTAATAAATATTATTATTCAAACATTTCTCTCACAATGTTCGATATATTGGGATGGAGGAACTTTCCATTTTCATCTCAATTTCTAACAAGACAAGACAACTTTTTAGACGAGACGGAATGTGGGACAAACTTTCAATTTCAATCTTTTTCAGAGACGAGACACAGGATAGGGGTGTTTTGACCCCGTCCTATCCTATGAACACTCTTATTTGGGGTGATAATTGGGTCCTTAAAGTGGAAATGTGAAATTTCCAAAAATTTCAGGGGAGAATCAACCTATGATTGTCAAGCATGGAAGAGCAAGTGATTTAATTTTGAATATAAGAAGGAAAGTTATGAATCATTTATTTTTAACAAGACTAATTTAGTAATTTATATAAATTAATTTATAATAGAAAATTTTTTAAAAATTTTAAGAGAATTATGATATTTTAAAAGATTAAATTATTATTATTTATATATTTTAAAGTGATTTTATTATCATCTTTTTAGTTTATTTGGGTTGAAATGGAAGTTCAGGATCGATTTTGTTTCTGCTTTTTAAAACTCTTCCTGCGATTTGATTGGTTAAATGAACTTAGAATTACAAGGTTTTTTATGCTTTGCTGTGTAAAATGTAAAAATCCGTGAGACCCATCTAACCCGATTGAACCTGATCCTGTTTTTAAAAAAATTAGTCCAGCGCAAAAAAAAAAAAACAAAAACAAAAACAAAACAAAACAAAACAAAACAGAAAACAGAAAACAGAAAACAGAAAACAAACCAAACCGTACCATACTTTTTACTTGAGTTTGATTAAACATGAGATTAAGCTACAGATAACTTGGTTTGGTATGGCTCTATGATGTGTCTTTAATATACTTGAAGTTCACGACACATCTCTCATATTAGTGTTCTTAGTTTTGTGCTTTTTAATATAACTTTTAATTTTAATTTGTTGATTAATATTCTTAATTTTGTATGTTTTATCAATCCCGCATGTATAAAATTGATTAACTAATTATATTTTCACTCCTCTACTTAAAATATAGAAATATATTTAAATTTTAGTATTACATTGAAACATTATTGTTTTTTTAAGCAAAGAAGATTGATATTTTAATGGATTCAAAATACACCAAGGTACGATTTTTTTCAAGTGAGTGGAGACATTTACCCACCCTCACATACATATAAATTTGGGCTACCTATTTAGCTAAATCTAAGTTCTTGTACATAATTTTTGAGTCTTCTATACAGCTTAATTGTTGTAATATAATTTAGACTTGTTAAAGTTTGTTATAAGTTAATATGGATTTATTATGATTGGATTTAATATTTTGTGATTAATTTTTATTTGATTATAAGTATTTTTGTTGTTTTAATTAAGTTTAGAAAAAATGACAAATAAGGACCTTGTAAGAACATTAATATTAAATTAAGACTTTTTAACATTGATGTTCTCGAATTTCAATACTCCTTTTATTATATTTTAATATTAAAATTTTTAATTTAATATTAATATTCTTATAAAGTTCTTATTTGTTGTTTTCCAAAAAGTTCCCATTGTCAATGTTACAAAAATTAAACTACTAATTTTTTCAACAAATAAGTTAAAAATATCAATTCTAACAAAAATAAATATGTATTTTAATTAAAATTTAAATGTTAAAAAAATAAAATTTAAATATATTATCTATTATTAAAAATTTAAAATTTATAATTGTTTGAATTGATATTTATAATTTAATTTTTAAAAATATTTTAACAAATCAGAAGACAATTTAGCCAATCAAATCATAGAATCATTTTTAAAATAGCTGAAACATAATCCAGTAAAAAGAGATCCTCTCCTCATCCCTTCTGTCCTTTTCTTCTCCTCA